TCCCTCCATCCTGCTCGCTGCTGCCCGGTGCACGGATGCCGCGCAAAAAACATCATGCAAAGCCATGTCCTGGCCACGGCCTGGCAGTGAGCCAAAACCATGCAGGAAAAATATCTACAAGTCATCAGCTCCTGCTGAGGCATTCATGGGTGAGCAGCCAGCAGCCTGACCCCTCCAGCAGCCCCAGCTCTGCCAGCAGTGCCCCATGTCCCCAAAATAGCTGCCGTGAGGAAGACCACAGCTAATCCCCCCGGCTCAGTCGCTGCACCGATGAATTTGGGCCTGGAATCAAAATAGCCAAGTTGATCATCAGGATAATTAGTCATGCACAGCTGAGCTCCCGGTCAAAGCAGCTCAGCCACCACTACCAACCGGAGGAGCCCACAACGCAGCTCCAGCTAAATGATCATCTGGCTTTTAAATAACAGGGCAGCTGCAAGCCCTGGAGAACAAAACACCAGGGTGCTCGGTCTAAATTGCTCTCAGGCCAGGGATCCACGGAACAATGCCACAGAGGGGCTGGAGAGACCAGCTCCACTGGGTAGGTGAGCAGCCCCAGGCAACTGACCCAGCAGGCACTGGCACACACGGCTCCAGCAGGAGCAGGCGAGGCCATGTGGGATCCCTTGTCCTTTGGGCAGGAAGAGAGGGAAGGAAACCAGATGACCCAAGGGAAAACACCTCTCAGAGAAGTCCTTCTCCCTTCCCAGGAGACAGTGTTCATGGCCAACTTCTGGAACTAATGATTCTGTTAAAAACCACCCAGCATCCCATTCCCGAAGGGTGTAACAGCTCACATAAGTTCCACTGGTACACAATGAAGACTCGCATATCAAAATCCATCAACTTTACCCAAAAAAGCACAGCTAAGAAAGCCAGCAGAGCTCAACAGTTTTGCTGGTCAAACCTTCTCAGAGAGTTGGTGTTCATGTGGCCCAAGCCCAACCTCACTAAACACTCCTGACCCAGAGATAGCCCTCCATTACATCTGAACGCAGCGGTACCAGTGATGCAAGAGCTTGGTTAATACCTCTAAGGGTAAGATGGGAGGATAATCTGCAGCCTATAAATAGGACCAATGAACCACAATTACAAACTCTGCTGAGGCAATTCATTTGTCCAGATGTTCCCATCATGTCATTCTCAATCGAGCAGTAAATGATGGGCCTAATGGGCATTTCCCTGCTAAATGCTGCATACAAGAAATCACAGCTCCAAACCCGCTGCTGCTGATGGTATGGGTCCTGTCAGAGGCAAAACCTTCAAACATTTCTCCTTCTCATTTCAGATAGGTTTCAAGCATTAAAACTCCTTGGTTTGGGGGACAATATGGAGAGGAAACGGGCTCTAGGCAGGCATTTTATTTCCATTTCTTCATCTCATGCCTGGTGGAAGTCAAGTCCTTCCCCCTAAAGCTGGAGGGGTAACCAGCCAGCCTATGCCACCCCCTGCCCACTCTTCCTGGGACACCTCCTAACAGTACTTTTTCTCCTAAAAGGGGATGGTAAATGCCATGCACACCCAGAGAGCAGGGGTGTCGAGCGAGATGGCCACCCGAAACCCATATCGTTGCAGAGCAACTTATTTACAGCAGTAGCTGAGCTATTTCGACCTGATTTTTCTAATGTCCTGAGAGCACAGGAGGATCAGAGGAATGTCATCTCTTAAATAACCCCAAGCCTTGTGTTCACACGGAGAAAATGGGCTCATGCAATCAAATTAAACACTGCAAGTTTATCAACATTTCCTCCAAGTGCCTCAAGGATAAGAAGTTTAGTAGAAGCTAGTTAGAAGAAAAACAGGATGTCGGAGATAAAGAACAAGATCTTTAATACACTTCTGCTTCCTGTGCAATGGCTTCACTGAAGGTCTGGAGAAGGAGATGGATTGCATTTCATCCAGCTTGCAGATAGCACCAAACCAGGACCAAAAGCAAAGTCCTGGGACACACTCAGCCCCTGCATGGGGACAGCTGGGGTTGGGGACAGCTCTGCTGGGATGGCCCCACGGGTGGGAGCTCATCTCCAGCACAGCCAGGAGACCCAGGGAAGTGGCTATCCCCTACTCCTGCCACTCAGCACATCTGGACCACATCTGGATGGTGCCTCCAGAGTCATCAACAGAGGGGGACAGGTCCTGCAGAGAACCCCCCCAAGGCAGCCAGGGGCTGGAGCAACAGCAGCAGTCCTGAACATTTCTGAGGACCAGATGAGGTTTCTCAGAACCAGAAAACTTCCCACAGTCTTTCCACTCTCTTTTCTTCCCCTCCATTTTGTCACTGATAAAGGGGAAGGAAAACCAAGCTGTGCTTTTCAAAAGCTGTCTCTCTCTCTCTCTCTGTATGTCTGTTTACATACACACATCTATATATAGGTTTTAATTTGGCACAGAAGAAAGGGGCATGAAGCAGGAAATCAACCAAAATCTTACAAAACCTCTAATTTTTGTGCAAAACACTCATGTCATATGGCAACATCTGCTTACCATTTCCAACTGTCCTCAATCTCCCCCTCCTTGTGTCACAAGAGCTCATTTTTGTCCACCACTTCATTTTCCCAGAAAAAGGCCACAGCACAACAACACTGTATGATGTGGAAAGCCAGCTCAGAGTAGAGAACAGTCTTTTATTTTCTCTTTTCTGGCCCTCACGCCAGCACACGGACACCCCAGACCGGTCTTCACAACTTCAGTCAAAACCATCTCACCAGGAGAATGATTTACGCCATGGCAGTACTGAAAAATTCAGCTCTGCTGATTATAAATAGGAAAGAGCCAATCCAAAGGAAGCACCATTCAGGTGGTTTGCAATTAAAGAAACTGAAAAGAAATGCCAAAAAAGCCAAAAAAGCAATCCTACAGAGCAGCATGTTCCCCATATGCAACATCCCTGCTCTCCTTGATGCTGCTGCATTAAATAGGGTTCCCTTATCACCCTCATTATCCCCCCAAGGATGCTGCCAAGTGCTCTGCCAGGAAAGCAGACCGCATCTCCACTTCTCCTAAATCATACATCACTGCTAATTCCTTGATGTTGATTACAAACAGGAGGCTTAGCAGTAGATTGCCATGCCATACCGTATCAGCCTCTCCCTCTAGTTGCTAAGAAAAATCAACAAGCAACTTTTGGAAGCAGCGGGCGACCCAGCAGATCCAGGATTTTCTCATAGAGAGGGTCTGAGGGCACCTCAGTGGTTTATGGGGTTTTCAAGCTGAGTTAGGGTATTTTGAACTGTCTGGAGAACCTGAGTACTGAGAAAAAAGAAAAAAATCTAATGGAAAATATGTCCATCAAGCAGTGAGTCACCAGAAGAGGTAATGGAGCCATGACAGGGATCCCAATTTACTGCCTTATTAGAACATCGATACCCAGCATGTAGCAGACAGCCGTGGTCTTCACCTGTTGAAGCTCCACCACCGGGGCGTGTGGTTTCTTCATATGGACATAACTGTATTGAGCAAGACCACCATCCTGGTTTCCAAACACTTCTTAGGTTGGGGTCCTTGAAAGCCGCAGTCACAGAATGGCCAAGGTTGGAGAGGACCTCTGGAGGTCCACCTCATCTTATCCGAACACCCCTGCTCAAGCAAAGCCACCTAAAACTGGTTACTCATGACCATGTCCAGATGGTTTTTGAACATCTCCAAGGAGGGAGACTCCACAGCCTCCCTGGGTAATATCTGTGCTAGTGTTCGGTCACCCTCACAGTGAAAAAGTGTTTCCTGATGTTCGGAGGGAATCTCCTGTGTTTCAGTTTCTGCCCATTGCCTCTGGTCCTGTCACTGGGCACCACTAAGAAGAGCCTGGCTCCATCCTCTTTGCACCCTCCCTTCAGATATTTGTATACATTAATAAGATCCCCCTGAGCCTTCTCTTCTCCGGGCTGAACACCCCAGCTCTCAGCCCTTCCTCATAGGACATATACTCCAGTCCCTTGATTATCTTCATGGTCCTTCATTGGACTCTCTCCAATATGTCCATGTCTCTCTTGCACTGGGGAGCCCAGAACTGGACCAGCACTCCAGGGGTGGCCTTGCCAGTGCTGAATAGTGGGGAAGGATCACCTCCCTCGATCTGCTGGAAACAATCCTCCTAATGCAGCTTCAGATACCAGTCACCTTCATGCCACAAGGCCATGTTTCTGGCTTATGTTCAACTTGGTGTCCAACAGGACACCCAGGTCCTTTTCTGCTGAGTTGCTTTCCAGCTGGATGGCCCCCAGCATGTCCTGGTATCTGGGGTTGTTCCTCCCCAGGTGCAAGACTTTGCACTTTACCTTGTTGAACTTCATGACATTTCCATCAGCCCATTTGGCTGATGGTGGGTTGGCTTGTTGGGTTGACGGTTGGACTCGATGATCTTAAAGGTCTTTTCCAACCTAAATGATTCTATGATTTCTCCAGCCTGTTGAGATTCCTCTGGATGGCAGCACAACCCTCTGGTGTGTCACCCACTCCTCACAGTTTGGTGTCATCTGCAAACTTGCTGAGGGCATACTCTACCCCATCACCCAGACCATTAATGAAGAGATTAAGCAGGACTGGACCCAGCATTGATCCCTGGGATACACCACTAGTTACTGGCATCCAACTAGTCTTTGTCCAATGATCACCAGCCTCTGGGCCTGGCTGTTCAGCTCATTTTCAACCCACCTCGCTGTCTGCTCATCCAGCCCACACTTCACCAGCTTGTCTGTGAGGAGCTGATGGGAAGCGGTGTCAAAAGCCTCGCTGAAGTCCAGGTAGACAACGTCCACTCCTCTCCCCTCCAAGCCCACCTCGTGGCCCCTCCACAAGCAACCAGGATGGAGAAGCCCCTTCAGCTGGACCCAGCGGGGATGGAGCTGGGGCAGCATCGGCAGCAAAGCAGAGCAAAATGGCACATTTGTTTCCCCCCCGAAATAAAACCCACCACTGACCTCCTTACACCCCAAAATCAAAGATGGGTGCAGGCAGTCCCAGGATGCCAGGAAGGGAGGGGCAAGCAGAGGGACCTCACTTACCCCACAGTCTCGTCCCAGTCACACCAGAGCCGCTGCCCGATGCCCTCCATGCTGAGCTGGAACTGCTTCAGGCAGTAGTGCCGGATCATCCAGCCGTAGTCTGCCTCCTGGCACGCCGTCGCCGTGATGAAGTGATGGGCTGGAAGACAGGTGAGGGGCGAGCGGGGTTAGGCTCTGCTGCAGTGGGTCATGGTGCAACGACAGTCCCTTGCCCCCCACCGCGTGGTCCCCACCACAGCTTTTCACACAGAGGGCACCTACCAAAGCAAAGCCGAACATCAAAGTAACTCCACTTTCAACCAGCTTCTTCAAAACCTCCTTCTCAGGGTTTTATTTCCCTCTTCACATCCCTCTGACCCTGCAGCATCATCCTGCATTACCCCCCAAAGTGCCTGACATGAGATAAATCAATTATTCAAAATATGCCAAGTAAGTCATAAATAAGTAAGGACGCACATTTCTTCTCTGCTGATAACTTGACACACATCTTTGGACTTTAAATTCCCAGTTCTTCGGTTTATGAAAAGAGTAAGGGTGTGGGGGAAGCTGGGGAATAAACTCATGGCTCCCAGCCAGATTCCCCACTGCTGCTGAACAAAGGACCCCTTAAAAATTATCTGCACAGTGCCACACTTGGAAACAAATATCCGTCTCTGATGGAGCACAAGGACAATCATGGTGAAATTCATCTCTGGCTGCACGGTGCTGATTCAATTCACCTCTGGGTACACATCCCTGCTACATGGTGCCTTCTGGTTCAGGATTGGAGAAGGAAGAGATGCTGCTTACTCCCCTACAAGTTTGTGCACAATTAGTGCAACGTTGCTAACGAGTGGAAAGAGAAAAGGACAGTAATGCTACAAAGGGAAGAGGGAGCAGGCTCGAAGGAAAAAACCCCTTTGGAGGAATGATTTACTGAGCCTGGCTATAAATAATATCTTTCCCTTGGTCCCGAAGTACCAGCTAGTGCCTTTGCAGCTTCTGGAGTACATTGCAGGCAATCATCACATACCAGCTCTATTTTTTGCTGCGTGTGAATAACTGTGCAAAAGAGTAGGGCTTTATTTTTATTTTTATCTTATTTTTTAACAAAACAGAATTTAGCTACTTATTTAGCAGACTTCATATGAAAGTCACGGGACATTGCCGGTGGCTCCTGACCAGGGGATGCCCTCCTTGAGTGGTCCCTCTGCAGCCCCCAAATCCTCGGAGCACTTAGGTACCAGCATCCTATGGCAACGGGTGGGAACTCCAGACCTGCTAGGGGATTTGGGTGGTGAGGGGCCCCCAGACCTTTGGGCGAGGTTTCTGGATGGCTGAAGGGCTTCCATGCTGCTTCCCACTGCAGCAGTAGCTTCAGTCCGGCTCAAGATAAGACAACGTGAGTTATCAAGCCAAGGGAGGGGAGTTAAGGAGCACTAAACCCTCACTGCTGCCATAAGAAAATTGAGTTTATCATAATCTAAAGCTCTCCCCAACTGATACCACCCAGACGCTCTGCCTACAGCACCTGCACAACATGACCTCAGCCAGAGACAAGCCCTGCTCTGAAATGGGAAGGTTTGGGATGCTGAAGCAAAGTTCTGAGCGAGGAGGAGGAGGGGGGAAGGTGCAATAATTTCACGAGAGCTGGACTGCAAAGCTCAGTCTGGGCAGGCTCAAAGATGATTGATGGCTGGGAGGCTTTTCTCCCCTTCCCATCCCTTCCAGTATGGATGAATCAAGTGAACAAGCGACACGGCTGAGTGAGCACCAGCATCCAAGGGAGGTTGAGGGGTCACCCCAAGGGGTCACCCCTCGGTGAAGACTGTGCACCGGACTGTGAAGGACAAGCACCTTGCAAACATTATGCCCATCATGTGGCTGGACAAACAATTTGCAGAGAAAATGCCGCTGGTGAATGCATCAAGTATGGAGCAGGAGAGAGCTGCATAAGGGGAGAAAGGGGAGCAGGAGAGGTGAACATTAAAAAGCAGCCAGCTGAGGGGATTGAGGAGCAAAGCAGGAAACAGAGCCAGGCAGAAATGAGTGAGGCATGCAAAGGATGGAGAGAAACTGAGGAAGACAAAGCTGCTTTTAGAAATTCAACAGCAATACAGCACAAGAAGAAAGAGAAGCAGAAATTAACTTCACCTGGCTTCACTCCTCCCCACTCCCAATTAGCATGGATGAGCCTAGACAGAAGTCATCAGTTGTACCACAAAACCAGCGATCCTTAGAGATTCCCAAACATTTCCTGACGACCACACAGCTGCTCCTGCAGAACAGACCTAGAGGAAAACACCTTAACAGGGAGGTCCACCTTGGGTAGAGAAACACTAAACATGGGGACAAAGCAACTGAGAACTGCAGACTGGCTCCAACAGCTGCTTGAGTAGCTGCAAGCCACATATATCTGGTAGTCAGCATGAAAATGAGCCCCACTATTAAAAAAACCAAAAACTAACCCAAACCAAGTGAAAACAAAAACCCAGGGAGCTTCAAGCACTTGCCAATCAAAGCGGCTCAAAAGCCACTGCTGGGTTGGCTGTGGCTGTGGCCTGAGTACAGGTGGGGGCAGCCAGGAGAGAGCCAGCACACAGGCTTCGTCATCCCTGAGCATGTGACTTGTATGCTTGCACTTTGCTCCTGCCTCTTGTCTCAGCTCTGAAGGTCCTACGCAGGCACACCACCACCTTTCTTCCCTTCCCTGGCAGCTATTTGCAATGTTCTCCAGGAGCTCTGCCTTCCCCACGAGGACTTGCCTTTGGCAGCAGCGAACACTGCAGATGCCAACTGCAAATCCTTTTCCCTGGGGGACTGGGGAAACCAGACCCATCAGCCAGTGACTGAGACATTTCATGAGGACATTTGAATTTTTAACATTGTGAAGGGTTCTTTTGTTTTATGCATCAGAGGCAAAGAGCATCCAAGAGGAGCAAGGCTCAACAGAGCCTGTTGTGTAAATGCTGCGAGGATGGAGCTGGGCACAGCGAGGCCAAAAAGCTCTTTTGTTTTCAGCTGGCCAGGGAGAACTGTCTTGAGCTTTAAATGCACATTTTAAGGTCAAAGCGAGGAGAAGCTCCTGCCACATTTCCACATAGTCCTCACCTAAACCCACAGGTATTTCTCTGCTGCTTCCCACATTTCCCCCAAACTCACGTTTATCGACACATCAGGCTGGAATGGGCTCAGGGTTTGTAACAACAGGGAAAAAAGCAGCGAGGGATTTTTATATCTCCTGGCTCTTGTTCCAGAAGGTTTTCCTTCCCCCCCCGCCCAGTCCTGCTGACGGAGGCGGCGCAAGTCAGCTGCAGTGAGCTGTAAATAACCAAGCTCCGGAGCAGTCACATCTCTGTACTTAGCAGCATCCATTTGTGAAGGCTATAAGGAGCTACTGAATAAATGAGCTCCAAAATCCAACTATACCAAGGCTGAGCTGCCTCCAAGAGTGCTCCCTTCTTGCGTGCTCCCATTCCCTTGGGAAAAATGGCATCGGCAACTGCAGGAACGCAGTCATCCTCTGGGAACATCCCACTGGCGCCATGCTGTACCTCCAAAGCCCTGCTTGGTCTTTAGGTGCTGCCTAGACACAGAACAGGGGGGTTATCTCCGTCTTCTCCTGTCTCCCCTGCCTGTGCATCCATATAGGTGATACCACTGCGAGCGGTCCAAAATTCATCCTTGCAGCATCTGTGCGCACTGCCTTCCATGTGCAAAGCTGTCTTTCTGCTGGAAGGAGGCACCATCAAATGTGGTGTTTATCTCAGCATGGGGACCTGCATGACTGTTGATGAACGCCCTTCCCTGCCAAGAGGAGCACTGATTGCCTGTTAAAAGACATAACTTTAAGGATCCTTAATTTGCCTTCTCACAGGGAACATCCGAAGAGCAGCAGTGAGGAAGTGATTGGAGGGAAGGCTTTTTCAGGCATCCCAGGTCCTCTTGATTGCTCTGAGATTGATGTCCCGGAGAGTCCCAGCAAATGTCTACCGGGGTTCAGCTTACTGAGGGTTAGCTGCAAATAAACCCAAGTTGCTCATGTATTTCAGCAGAAAAACAGTGTTGGCCCTGAATTGTTACAAAAAATTTGGGAAAATAACTGGACTTTCTTCTGTTGCACTTCTTATAGCTGGAGTCTGGGCCAAAAGCTCTGGGCTCGCAGCTCCAGAAAACAACTTGGTGGACACCACCTCCTCCTTTTCCTCCTGCCACCCCTGCAGAGCCCACACACTTGCCACAGTGACGGTTCACCAGCAGAAAGTTCCCTGCAAGAAAAGTTTTGCATTTCACATCGCTATCCCCTCTTGCATAATTCTCCAGCCATTTTCTCCCCAGTTTTCTGGGACTTCGTGGGCTCATCCTGCTGGGACGTGCAGCCAACCCCAGGGGGAAGCAGAGGCAGGGAGGACCGCAGAGCCTGAGAACAGATGAGCACTTCAGACTGGCGTGGCACAGGAGGTCAAAGCAATGCCAGCGCTGATGGACCCAGCTCCCAGGCATCATAACGGAGCCTGTCAGCATTTTTTGCAAGCCTCGCCACCTCTGCCATTCGACCTCCAGATGCTGCCCACGATGAAATGCCCCTGTGAAATGATTAGGTCTCTCAACAAGACGCAGATGAAAACAGTTTGTTTTCCCCTCCTTTTCAGTGTGGTTGTTTGCTCTATTTTATTGAGAACAAGCTTCATGGTTTGGACCTGGTTGCAAAATAAAACCCAACAAGAGCTGGAAATCTGGAGTTCATATGCTGAGCGTGCCTTCAGCCCTGCCTTTGCCATGTCCCCATCCAGCGGGACGAATTGTGCCCCAGCTGGTACAAACCTGTGAGATTAAACCAGGTAAAACCCAGCTGGACAGATGTGCTGCATGCTGCCAAACCAGGTACTCACCAGCTGGGAACGATGTTGGGAAGGAGATGGTTGCTTGTGGCTAACCCCAAACCTGATTTTGTCCCACTCTCTCATTGCCAATATCCTCCAGCCACCTTGGACTCACAGCTGTCCCTGCCAGGCCACTCACCCTGGTGACAAAAACCTCCAGTGGGGACCACAGCCCCGTGTCCCCACCAGAAGTACTGCATGGCTCTGGGAGAGCAGGTTCTGAGTGCGGGTTTTGCAGGCAAAGCCCTGGGAAGCCTTGAAAGCTGCTCTGTGCATGGGGAGTGCATGTTCATTAGCCTCAGGCTGCTTCATTTTGCTTTTCGACCTTCCCTTTGTGTTGGGACCCACGTTTACAAACAGACCAGCTGAGCCAGTCCTCACCAAATGCATTTCTCAGCATCTTCACTTTCACTCAGTAGAGCCGCCATGTCCATTGCTAACTAGCAACTCAACATAATTAAGCGCCAGTTTTCATCTTAAGCCTGGTGAGATCTGGTACCTCCCACAAAGGGGCTTGGGCACCCTTGGGTCACGTCAGAGCGAGACCCCTCCCAGCACCCTGGTGCTCTGCCCAGATTGAAGCATGAAGCCAAGGGAAGGATCAGACCCAGCCCAAAACTTCTCATCCAAAACACTCATGGAGGCAGGCAGAGGACATGGGGGCAAGAGGCAGAAGATGAGCGTGAAAAACATCCTGGTTTGCAGCCAAAAAATTGAAAACTGGGGGGGGGGCTTTGCTTTGTTGACTCAAAGCCAACAAACCAGCCCTGCTAGAGGCAGCAGATGGTTTTGCAGAGGACGGAGCAAGTGCTCGCAGGACTAAAAATAAACCCACTGCACCCAGCAGCGGTGGCATGTAAAGGGCTGGGCTGGGCTCCGGCTGGCGCCCGCAAACTGCCAACATGGGAACTGGCGGTGTTGCTGCAAACCTGCCCCGGGGATGTCCTGCCTGACCTATCCACACCTTCTCCTAAGCCTGATTTTGTACTCCCCAGACAAAGCCAGATTTGGCATGGGGGGGCATTTCCAGCCTGCTGCTTTGTACATGGCCTCTGGCCCCCATGGTGGTATTAGAAAGTCAGATGTTTTCTCCAAAAAAGCAGGTTGAGCCCCAACAGTGGTACAAGCCCGGAGCTGGGGACCAACCTTCTCTGTAGCTCACCACGCGAGGAGCACCTTTCGCACCAGGCTCTGAAGACCCCCAGGAGGTATAGCTCTGGATAGGGCTTAAAAACCAAAACACTGCATAACCTAGCAGGAAGCTCAGGTCTTGCACAAGAAACCTCACGCCAAGAAACATGAGAGAGAGGGGAAGTCACCCACGTCAGCTGGGGAGAAACAGGAAGAAAGGCACAACTGCCCCTTCCAGCATCTGCAGCCTCATAACCCCCAGGAAGGGCCTGGCACCCTCTGCTTAAAAATATACCTCCCGCCGGGGCTGTTTCGGGCAGCTGCCAGCTCAGCGAAGGCTTCAGAGCTTGCAAACGCTCCCTTGGTTCGCCAGGAAGAAATGAAGCTGGTGCTTAGCAAATGCATAACCCCCCTTTGGTTGGAGCTGGGGGACAGAAAAATGCAGATGTTGGTGTTGGGGAATGACAGGGTAGCTGGCTCAACACTATTTATTTCTTTACCAGAAAGGAGGGAGCCACCTGCTAACACCTCTGCTTGCTGACAACTTGGGATGCACCCCTGCACTCAAACAAAACCTCCGAGCCCTGGCAGGGCTATTTGTGTCCTGTTTTTGCACAGGGAATGCATTTTTAAAGCCTCTCCTCCCTGCCCAGCTGGGTCAGGCCAGGGGCACTGGCACCCACCCCAAGCTGCTGGGGTCTGACACCGGCTCCTGGGGCTGTCGGGGCTGTGTGGTGGCTTGGGAACGGCGAGGTGGATGGAGGTGGCCAAACCCTGCAGGTGATTGTAGGGGAGACAGAGCCCCATCCCCATCTCAAGCAGAACTGACCGAGCCCCACCACCAGCACAGGATCATCCCATCCCATCCCATCCCATCCCATTCCATCCCAATCCCCATCCCCATCCCTTCCTGTGAAGGCTGAGCCCAACTTCTTCCCAGGCAGCTCCTCTGGTCCCCTCCTCCCTTCCAAGCTTGGCAATATTTCATCTCCAGCATCTTTCCCTCTCACCACCAGCTCGCTGCAGGGGAATGTCCATGGAGGCTTTCAGCATCTGCTTCGTAGTGATTTCCGAGCTCAGGTTAGAGGAGCGTTGCGTTATGGCTCAGGACACCTTTTCCTCCGGAGCCCAGCAAACGGGGTGGGAGGATAGCACAGGGGTCTCCACGTTGCCCTCCCCGGGCACAGCCCCCCTGCTCAAGCTGCTCTCCTGCCCCAAGAAACAGATTTTAACTCAAGGCACCTCCCTTTCCTCAACTGCAGGCAAGGACCATCATCTTGGCATCTTCTGTAAAGCACTAGGAGATGCAGAAAAGCCATAATTGTTATTTAATAGGCAGAAAAGGAGCCCACAGCCACCTATCCACCAGGCCTGCAGCTGCCAGAGCTACTGTGCTGCCACCTCTGACCAAATAAATTTGGCCAAGGAAAATGGATGATACGAACTTCAAGCATCTCAAAAATTTCATTTATTAATGCCCGATTGGATGAGCTGCTGCTTTTGCCACAGCAAAGCACCAGGCTCCCCGCATCCAGTTTAGGGACCTCAAAAATACATGGACGTGTTCAAAGTCCTCGCAGAGATGCTCCTACTTCCCGATTGCCATAGGGATGCAGCTGCTTGGCAGGCAGCAGGTGAGCCCATGGGAAGAGCCTGTCCCCCACACTGGCAACCCACAGGCACACAGCTGGAGTCAGGCTTGGGGATGTCAGGACAAGGAGGGACCCACTGGCCTCCCAAAGCAGTCACCCACCATCTTCTTTAATGTGAGAAGGGCATTTCTCATCACAGCAACAATAATTCAGAGAGCTGCTCTGTCCCAAACCCACTCTGATGCTTCTGGAGTATCCTCGGGTCCCAAAACCAGGCAGCCTCTGCCTCCCCTGCCTGCTGCACGCTTGTTTGCTTGGTGTGTTGTGACACTGTCCCTTAATCTGCAGGATTTTCCTTCCCAACGTAGCCATTCAGGATGTAAATTAAGAGGGAATTCATGGGATTCGGGGTTTTCATGTGCTGAAAGGGAGCGGGGATTTTTCAACATGCTGCTGAGTCACTGCGCAGCAAGGAATTTGGAGGCAGAGCAGATGCTGGGAGGTGAGGGGAACATCTGCCATGTCTTGGACATGCTGCCACCGCTTGCTTTGGAGAAGAGAAGGAGAATCCCCCTCTCCCTGCCTCCCCTCCACCCTGGGGGGCTGCAGATGGAGCAGCAGAAGGAAACTACCCAGGTCCTACCTGAACAGAGTGGTCTGTAAGCATGGTATGGATGTGGTTACAAAGCATGGCCAGAGGTCCCCAGTGAGGTCTGCAGATGGAGGGCTCACCCCGTATTTTGCTTGTCTGACAGCTTCACTGCCATGAAGCCACAAAAGCTTTTAAAGGACTGGAGGACTTGGGAAACTTTGGATGGGAGAGAAGTCACTCCAGCTGGGAGGAAAAAAAAGCCTTGCGGCAGGGAAAAGATGTTAAATGAAAAGAGACAGGGCTAGGAACGCTCAATTTTAGGAAATCGGATATTCCCCTGAAAAACATG